CCGATCTGTGCCGTTTAAATGCGTTTACCGTGAATGTCAGCATATAGGTGCACTAACATGTAAGTGTCTGCTGAGTTGACCACGGAGATCTGAGTGTCTGCTGACTTTACCGCAGCGATGTCCAGTAGTCTCCAGGGAGAGCAACAGCTGGTGCAGCTTTTCTCTTTATTTCTGCCCCCCTCGACCAGAAGCGGAAGTCGCCTTTTCTCTACGGCAACCCTGAAGGGACATCATATCTCCAATACAAAACGATAAACATGAGACAGTCTGTTACAATAATAATAATAAAAAATACTTACCTGTTTTTTGTTGTTGTTTTTTAAATATTATTATTATTTTTTTCCCATCTCAAAAGGCTCAAGGACACACACACACACACACACACACACACACACACCTGACTATAGGATGTTTGCTGGCTTTTATCCCACTGTTCTTGTCATCCTCTTGTTGTTATGTATATGTATTGTCTCTTGTCTTTCAATTAAAAAATAAAATAAAAAAAATAATAATAAATTAAAAAAATGCGTTAACGCGCGATAAAATAATTGTCGGTGTTAATTAATGAATGCGTTAACGCGAAAATAACGCGTTAATTTGCCCAGCACTAATATATATACATATATGTATAAACATATATAATATATATAAATATACAGTATACATATATATATCATAGATTAAAAATGAAGACACTGACACTGATAATTCAAAGAATCAATAGTTGCAGAGAGCAGCGTCCTGACAGCCAATCAGAGAAGTCAAAGTCAAGGTGGGAGAACCAGGAGGTTCCGTTGGGAGGGGGGGGGGGGGCGTGTTACAGGAAGCACCAGAGTCCAGCAGGGACACTCTGAATTATTGATCAACTTAATGGTGAACTTTCATTTTTTTTCTGCCGTCACTTCGAGTTTTGACTCTGACAGTCACCTAAGATTTCCCATGAGGCCTCAGTCACCAAGGAGAGACAAGGAGAGACAAGGAGACTCCTCCTGACCGCCACAGAGAGAAGAGGAGAGGCCGGTTCAACTCCTCGTCCACCCGACAACATTCTCAAAGACAAACCAACAGCACATGTTACATTCGTGAGGGATTCCTTCTCAGGATCAAAGGTCCAAACAGATCCTCCTCAGAGGACAAGGACAAGTCCAGCATAAACCTCTAAGGGGGACATCCCAAGTCTCCTTTATGCATCCACGTTACCTCCTTTTCCTCTCACCAAGGATGCATGGAAGGAAGCATGGAAAACATGCTAGGAGAGAGGAAACGAGAAAACATGTTTTTAACCCTTTCCATGTGAAGCGACGTCTATGGGTTCATCTCAAGTCTCTTAATTGCATCCCCGTTTCCCTCACTTGGGTCCTTTCCTTGCGTCCTAGTCCCTCCCACCAGGGATGCATGGAGGAAACCATGCGAGGAGAGAGGAACGAGGAAATATGTTTTAAGAGACATGAGACGTCCTTTCCTCAGTTGCGTCACGTGAAGCGACGTCTGTTTCTGATGACGGTGCTGATGATCACAGCTGATCAGCTGTCAGTCGGCTTTAACAGCTGGAGAGACTTTAGATAAGTTAGTGTCTGTTCACATGATCACTGTACTTAATAACAGTAACTAATAATACTAATAACTAATAAAGACACAGTAATCACCACTGTAGAGGTGTTTCTCTGTTAACTAACTGTGTCCTGTGTTCTGTTTATAAACACAGGATCCATTTCTACCGGCGGAATGCGATCGTCTTATTTATGAATTATTTGCATCTGTACGTTTTGAAATTCAGATTGTGTCATCATTATTAAATAACCCAGAATATGATTATTGTTTCTCTTAAATGATAAAACTCATCAAACCCGACAATCAGGAATGAACAGCCTCACGTGACTGAATGAACGTGACTTTCACTACATGAACGTACTGCTCTGCAATGTCTTTCCTCGTCTCAGCCCCCTGTCTCATGGTGCATCTCACTCGGTCAGAATGCATTTTGATTGGCTGAGCTGCATCATGTGATATGATTCACTACCCATCAGCCTCTGCTGGCTGTTAAGTTTCGTTTCACGATAGTCACGTGCTCGCCCACTGACCAATCACAGCACACTCTGTACCTCGCGGCAAAGCTACACACAGACACTGAGCGGCATGTAATGCTGACGTCATTATAGGCCGGCGCGCAGGTCTGATTGGTTGAACACTATGACAATCAACAATATCGTCCCCATTCACTTAAACTGCACATGGATGCACTTGTGAGTCTGCAGGCCTCTGCCTCTGTTCTTACCTAGAGACACAGAGGTGAGATCTGATTGGATAAAAGCTCTACTTAAAACAAGCTGCACTGGAAGCAGAGCAACTGAGGAAGACAGTAGCTGTGCAATGAGAACATAAGATAATGGGAATATATTATTATATATTATAATACATGTAGTGTATTTATGAAAAAATATTAGATTAAAAAATAGATTTTTTTAAAAATATATTTAGCTTTGTGATTCTGTTTAGGCCAGCAGAGAAGGCCTTGCAGGCCCTGACGGCCCGCCACTGATGTTTTATATATATATATATATATATATATATAGTTTTAAAAACTAAACTCACAAACAACTACATAGAAACTGGATTAGACTCGTGTTTCATTCAAATTTTAATTCCAAATCACGTGGAACCGCTGTTATGATGAATGAAAACATTCCTTTTACTCCATCGGACATCATTTCAGACTCAAGTGGTAGATTTATTATGGTGACCGGAAACATCTATAATACTGCAGTAACGTTGGCTGACATCACCCAACCATGATGAAGACACATTTACAAGACCAGTACTCATTGTAGCTGGGACTTCATTAGGGGCTGCAACTAACGATTACTTTAATAATCCATTAATCTGGCGATTATTTCTTCGATTAATCGATGAATCTGATATTAATGGGCCAAAAAAATGTGAGTGAATAAAAACGTGTCTTTAGTCTTGCAAACTATACCACCCCTGCTTTACTACTGTTATTAACGAGCTAACGCTAACTTGTCATGCTTGTCAAGCTGGCTGTGATCACCCAGAGCTCTACGATCCCTCATATCAATAGAGACCAAACTATGTGTATAAATGTGTGTGTAAACCATATGGTACAAACAATGAATAGACGCTGCCGTGTTTACGTCTACATGACGTTATTCTGACTGTTGGTGGAGCTGCTACAATGTTAGCATAGCCTAGCACCGATCCATCTGAGCTCCATTGAGAAGACAAGTAGCCTACAAATCGGCATCATTACGTAGTTATTTCAGAGTCTCTTTTTCTCGGTTTATTGCCGTTAAATCCCAGCCAGATCAGTTTATTTAGTGTTCATACAGCTGTAGTAAACAGCGCCCTGTGGCTCACTAGACACAGTGAATACAGCTCGATAAAATCCACAGAGCTCCTCTGGACAATGTTATGAACCAGACATGACGGCGTTTAGTTTCCCGGGATATCTGTGACTTCCACAACACGTACTAAGCAGAAATACAGGTTATTTTTTCCATGGCTAATGGCGGACAGTTGAAAGGCTTTCAGGGCGATAAGCCACGCCCCCTCTCCGGCGCGTCCAGCGCAAATGAACACAAATAGTCCCCGCGAGACCGGCAGTGCGAAGGGCGCGTTTTGTGTGAACACGGCATTAGGTCGTACCGATTTCTCTGCCTCCGCCATGTGTTTCAGAACAACGTTACGAGTCTCTCCGATGGTCTTTCCTCTACCTCCGCTCTTTTTTATTTTTTTGCTCCGCTCTGCCTGCGCTCAACTTTTTTTTTTATACTCAAACTTCTCCGCGACTTATTGAGTGGCGTAATAATCGCGCGTTTGGATTTTTTCCCCCCTTAATAATAAAAACCTTCATTTAAAAACTGCATTTTGTGTTTACTTGTGTTGTCTTTGTCTAATATTTAAATTTGTTTGATGATCTGAAACATTTAAGTGTGACAAACATGCAAAAAAATAAGAAATCAGGAAGGCGGCAAACACTTTTTCACACAACTGTGTATATATATATATACACACATACACAGGTGCTGGTCATATAATTAGAAT